CTTGCCAGGGCCACAATCCCTTTTACATCATGCGGGGCACTTGCGCGCGGCCGCCGCGCGCGGATGCCGAAATCCTCGTCGTCGTCGTCGGCGTAGTCGTCGTCGTCGCCGTTGGCGTCGTCATCGTCGTCGTCGTCGGCGTCGTCGTCGTCGTTGGTGTCGTTGTCGTCGTCGTCGTCGTCGAAGTCGTCGGAGTCGTCGGAGTCGTCGTCGGTGTCGTCGTAGTCGTCGTCGTCGTTGTCGCTGTCGTCGTCGGCGTCGGTGTCGTTGCCAAGTGCCATTTGGTACCTACCGTCACGGTCTTAAGAGGTCTTGCGACCAAGTTGCGGGGGGGAGGGTGGGATGTTTGCACGAGCAGCGGCGAGGACAGCTTCAAGACAGTCAAAGTGAATTGCACCGCATAGATTGCACCACGTGGGCTGCACAACATATTTTGCACCACGTCGAGTGCATCACACTGATTGCACCAAGTAGGTTCTCCTTTCTAGAAAGAGAATAGACTTTACCCACCCACCCAGGAATTAACGGGTTACCTTCTCGTATTGCAATTTACACATGATCTTGCCCCATCGTCCATCCTAAATATGAGCTCGTAATCATCATACCTACCGGTGTGATCTCGCAATGCTTTCTTTCGACCGTGCGCACTGCTGGTGGTTCTGCTGGTGGTCGTGCTCGTGGTCCTGCTGGTGGTTGTGCTGGTGGTTGTGCTGGTGGTTGTGCTGGTGGTCGTGCTGGTGGTTGTGCTGGTGGTCGTGCTTGTGGAGGTGCTGGTGGCCGTGCTGGTGGCTGGTCGTGCTAGTGGTTGTGCTGGTGGTTGTGCTGATGGTCGTGCTGGTGGATGTGCTGGTGGTCGTGCTGGTCGCTGGTAGTGGTTGTGCTGGTGGTTGTGCTGGTTGTCGTGCTGCTGGTTGTGCTGCTGGTTGTGCTGGTTGTCGTGCTGGTGGTTGGTGGTGCTGGGTGGTCGTGCTGGTGGTCGTGCTGGTGGTCCTGCTGGTGGTCCTGCTGGTGGTCCTGCTGGTGGTTGTGCTGGTGGTTGTGCTGGTGGTTGTGCTGGTGGTCGTGCTGGTGGTTGTTCTGGTGGTCGTGCTTGCGGAGGTGCTGGTGGCCGTGCTGGTGGCTGGTCGTGCTGGTGGTCGTGCTGGTGGTTGTGCTGGTGGTCGTGCTTGCGGAGGTGCTGGTGGCCGTGCTGGTGGCTGTCGTGCTGGTGGTCGTGCTGGTGTTGTGCTGTTGTCGTGCTTGTGGATGTCTGGTGGTGTGCTGGTCGCTGGTAGTGGTTGTGCTGGTGGTTGTGCTGGTTGTCGTGCTGGGTGGTCGTGCTGGTGGTCGTGCTGGTGGTCCTGCTGGTGGTCCTGCTGGTGGTCGTGCTGGTGGTCCTGCTGGTGGTTGTGCTGGTGGTTGTGCTGGTGGTTGTGCTGGTGGTCGTGCTGGTGGCTGTGCTGGTGGTTGTGCTTGCGGAGGTGCTGGTGGCCGTGCTGGTGGCTGGTCGTGCTGGTGGTCGTGCTGGTGGTTGTGCTGGTGGTCGTGCTTGCGGAGGTGCTGGTGGCCGTGCTGGTGGCTGGTCGTGTTGGTGGATGTGCTGGTCGTCGTGCTGGTGGTTTTGCTGGTGGTCGTGCTGGTGGTTGGTAGTGGTTGTGCTGGTGGTTGTGCTGGTGGTGATCGTGCTGCTAGTTGTGCTGGTTGTCGTGCTTGTGGTTGGTGGTGCTGGCTGGTCGTGCTGGTGGTCGTGGTTGGTGGAGATGCTGGTGGTCGTGCTGGTGGTCGTGCTGCTGGCCCGGTGCTGTTGGCTGGACCTGCTGCTCTCCCTTGTGCTGGTGGTTGTGTTGCTTGTCGTGCTGGTGGTCGTGCTGGTGGTTGTGCTGGTGGCTGGTCTTGCTGATGGAGGTGCTGGTGGTCGTGCTGGTGGTCGTGCTGGTGGTCGTGCTGGTGGTTGTGCTGGAGGTCGTGCTTGTGGAGGTGCTGGTGGCCGTGCTGGTGGCTGGTCGTGCTCGTGGCCGTGCTGGTGGTTGTGCTGGTCGTCGTGCTGGTGGTTCTGCTGGTGGTCCCCGAGCCCCCCCCACTTCTTATTCCGACCGTGCGCCCCCCCCTCCTCCCCCCGCTTACCCCTGCGCCTCCCTCCTCTTGCCCAAGTCCTCCTCCCCTTCTCCCCCGCGCTCCACCCGCCTTTCCCGAGCCCCCCTCCCCTTATTCTGACCGTGCGCCCCTCCTCTCCCGCTCCTCCCCTGCGCCCCTCCCCCCTTGCACCCGTGCTCCCCCCACGCTCCCCGGACTCCCGCGCCTGCTCCTCCGTGCTCCCACTGCCCTCCCCGGGCCCCCCGCTCCTTATTCCGACCGTGCGCCCTCCCCCCGCTCCTCCCTTCCACGCTCCCACCGTCCTCCCCGGCCCCCCTCCCCTTATTCCGACCGTGCGCCCTCCCCCCGCTCCTACCCTGCGCCTCCCTCCTCTTGCCTCCGTGCCCCCCGCCTTCCCCGGGCCCCCCTGGCCTGATTCCGACCGTGCGCCTTTCCCCCTGCTCCTCCCTTGCGCCCCTCTGCCGTTGCCCCCGTGCTCCCCCCATTCTTCCCGGGCCTCCGCGCCTTCTCCCCCGTGCTTCCACCGCCCTCCCCGGGCCCCCCTCCCCTTATTCCGACCGTGCGCCCTCCCCCCGCTCCTCCCCTGCACCCCCCTCCTCTTGCCTCCGTGCCCCCCGTCTGCCCGGCCCCCCCCTTATTCCGACCGTGCGCCCTCCCCCCGCCCCTCCCCTGCGCCCCTCCCCCTTCTCCCGATGCTCCGTGCTCCCCCACGCCCCCCGGGCTCCCCCGCCTGCCCCCGTGCTCCCCCCGCCTTCCCCGGGCCCCCCTCCCTATTCCGACCGTGCGCCCCCTCCACCGCTCCTCCCCTGCGCTTGTCTCCTCTTGCCCCCGTGCTCCCTCCACGCTCCCCGGGCCCCCGCGCCTTCTCCTCCGTGCTCCCCCGCCGTCCCCGAGCCCCCTCCCCTTCTTCCGACCGTGCGCCCTCCCCCGCTCCTTTCCGTGCCCCCCCCGCCCTCCCTGGCCCCCCTTTCCTTATTCGACCGGCGCCCTCCCCCCGCTCCTCCCCTGCGCCCCCCTCCTTTTGCCCCCGGGCCCCCCATCTTCCCGGAGGCCCCCCCCCTTATTCCGACCGTGCGCCCTCCCCCCGCCTTCCTCCCTTGCGCCCCTCTCCCGTTGCCCCGGTGCTCCCCCCATCCTTCCCGGGTCTCTGCGCCTTTTCCCCGTGCTTCCCCCGCCCTCCCGGGCCCCCTCCCCTTATTCCGATTGTGCGCCCCCTCCCCCCGCTCCTCCCCTGCGCCCCCCTCCCCTTGCCTCCGTGTGCTTCCCTGCGCGCCCCCGCCCTCTCCGGGCTTCCGCGCCTTCCCCCTCGTGCTCCACCCGCCTTCCCCGGGCCCCCTCCCCTTATTCCGATCGTGCGCCCTCTTCCCGCTCCTTCCCTGCGCCCCCCTCCCCTGGCCCCCGTGCTTCCCCCACCCTCTCCGAGCTTCCGCGCATGCTCCCTCGTGCACCCCCCGCCTTCCCCGGGCCCCCCTCGCCTTATTCCGACCGTGCGCCCTCCACCCGCTCCTCCCCTGCGCCCATCTACCCCGCGTGCTCCCCCCACTCTTCCCGGGCTTTTAAGCATTTTCCACCGTGCCCCCCCCGCTCTTCACGCTTTACGTATCCCAACCAGCCCATCCCAAAGCAGCCGCCAGGCGAGTTGCCTTGCTGAGGGAGGCGCAGCAGCAAGCAATCCAAAAGTGAACCACATCCGTCTTGGAGGCCCCTTGGAGTCGTCTTTGGCCGTCCGGGGCCATCCTGAGGCTATCTTGGGCCGTCTTGGGTGCATCTTGCGCCGTGTTGGAGACATCCTCGGGCCATTTTCGGTTCTCTTGGAGCCATGTTGGCCATCTTGGAGGCCATCTTGGGCGTCTGCGAGGCCACTTAAGCCGTCTTTGGGCCCTCTGAGGGCCGTCTTGGCCCCAGAGGGCCCAAAGACACCGTCGGTAGGGGGGGCCGTCGGGGCACACGCTTGCCCCCCCCCTACCGGACCTTGGCGCCATTGCCATCTGCCGTCTGTCTCGCATCCGCGATTGTATGATCCTTGGCACGCGTGCCCCTTGTATCCCAGCCAAGCCGGTATCACTCCCCCCCGCCATCCTCTGCAGAATGTACTATGCGCGCACTCTCGTTTATCAAAAGTCATAGGTTGCCAAGAAACCTTTGCAAAAAAGGGACGGAGTGCACACGCGCGCGTCGTCGCGCGCGCATGCCATAATCCTTCAAAAACTTGTTTTTTCGGAAGGATGTCAAAATCGAGTTCCAAACAAACATATACAAACACTGGGTTTCGCAACACTGATGTGCTAAAAAACTTGCGCGCGCTCTTGCGAAATCTTAAGGACCCCATCGGTTCTTCATAATTCTCCAGATATAGTACCAAACGGGCTTCGCGCGCGCATGTCGAAATCTTTCGAACGCCCTTGCGCGCGTGACGTCGCGAGAGTCCTCTGCAAAAATAAGACGAAGTGCGCACGCGCGCGTCGGACATCCTTCAAAATTCTTCGGCTTCGGAAGGGTTTCAGATCGAGTGCCCAACAAACATACAAAAGCACAGGTTTTCGCAACACGGACTTTCAACAAATGCGTGCGTGAGCACTCTTGCGTCGTGGTCGTCGTCGCCGTCCTCCCTCCTCCCTCGTCGTCGTCGTCGTCGTCGCCGTCGTCGTCCTCTGTCCTGCCTCGTCGTCGTCGTCGTCTTGGCGTCGTCATCGTTTCCGTCGTCGTTGTCGCCGTTGTCGTCCTTCTTCGTCATCTTCGTCGACGTTCCACATGGATTGTACAACCTAGTTATATGGTACCACATAATGTGCACAACCTGTCGTGCACCACCTACATTGAACACATTGACTGTAGATGTACATTGCTCGAACACACACACACACACAGTCTTTGGGGTCCACGCTGGCTAGCATGTGTGAATATTACGTGCGTCGCTTCTCCCTAAGGATTGTAGCATCATGATCTGGGACCTGAACAGCCTTCAGTACATTGGTGCGCTGCCTGGTCATCGGGGTTTCGTCAAGTGCCTCAGCGCCAGCTACTCGAAGAAGCTGATGGCGTCGGGCTCCCAGGACCGAACAATCCGCATCTGGAGCCTGGACTCGTTCACGACCGTGAAGACACTGTTCCGCCACACTGCCGAAGTAAACGCCCTCCTCGTGCTGGAGGGCCTGAACTTGCTCTTGTCCGGATCCGAGGACGTCAGAGGCAGCGTTCGGGGGGATAGGCGCCCAGGGGAACGCATCGACCCCCAATCGCCCACTGATCGCCGATAGGGCACGATAGCCCACCCCGCCCAGGAACGTGAGGATTCGCTCTCGGGGGCCTTTCGCCGATCTATCGGCCACGTATCGCCGATTTCAGCGCGGTTTTCCCCCTCTGAGCTGTTCTCGCCCGAAAATTCCCCCTCAGGACAGGTCCTTGCGGGTCTGGGACTTGAGCAACTTCGCCCTGCTCGTCAGCGTGGAGCAGGCACATCTTGGCGGCATTTTCGCGCTGTGCCCGTGCGGCCCGGACCAGGTGGTCTCTGGCGCGCGCGACAGGTCGCTGAAGGTCTGGGAGACGGACTCTTGGCACATGGTGCGCTCGTTGCAGCGTGGCGGCGCGCAAGCGGGGGCAAGGCGGCCCTGTAACATCGAAGAACAAACATTTGATGGGCATGAGCTGTCAGAGTTCCGCGCGGATTTTTGGGATCGGCGTTGGGCCCCTCCTGCGCCTCTGGCGCGCACTCCGCGCGCCGGGCAGGGGGACCCAGCGCCGATGCGAGAATGCGGCGCGGAGCTCCGAAGGTGCTTGCTGGTGCAGAGCAGGGGCCTCCTCGGCAAGGCCCTGCGCCTTGCTCGGGAGTCCTGCATGGGAGGGCCGCCCTGAGAATCAGGAGCGGAAAAAAAACGTACATGTACATGAATCCACGCTGGTTTCGAGAGTTCGCATTGCGCAAATGTTAGTATAACGCGGCCGGTCTCGCGGATCGAGGGGCCGTGTTCATGTACATAGCTGGGCGCGTACGTCCTTTGTGGGCTCCCTAGAGAAGGCAGAGGGGCCTCCCGGAGAGGCGGGTGCCCTCTTGGAAGTTCCCCGGGAGATTTCTGGGGGCTCCTTGAGGTCTCCGCGGCCGGGGGAGTCCCCAGAGGCCCGAGAAGCGACAACAGTCGGACCGAGGTATCGGCTCGAGGTCGATACGGGGAGGGTACCCTAATGTTCTTCGTGTTGTGTTGGATCGCGAGCGCCCAGAAGTTCGATCCCCGCCGCCTTTGAGGTCCGACGTCACGAAAAAGATGTGGCACCGTAGAAAATTCGAACGGAGCCCTGGACCCCATCTTCCTGTGGCAGTTTTAGAGCCGGATCCATCCGTGAGGGTGAAGGAGGGTCCTTCCTGCGCGCAGTCGGAAGAAGAGCCAGAAGCACCGGAGATCTAACGTCACGCAAAAGGTGCAGCATCGCAGAGAGTTCGATCAGAGCCCTGGACCCCTATCGTCTTGCGGCATGCTTCGAGCTGGATCGATCCGCGCGGACCCTAGAGCCCGAGACATAGCAAAATTACCCTTTGCGCAAAAATTACAACGCCAGGAGGAGGAGGAGGAGGAGGAGCTGGAGGAGGCGGAGGAGTAGGAGGAGGACGAGGGGGAGGAGGGGGAGGAGGGGGAGGAGGGGGGGAGGAGGAGGAGGAGGAGGAGGAGGAGGAGGAGGAGGAGGAGGAGGAGGAGGAGGAGGAGGTGAAGGAATCTCAAGGAAGAAAGGCCATAAAATCCTTGAACTTCGATGCCCCCCTCGTCCCGCCCGCCCCCCCCCCCCCCCTCGACGTGCGCGCCGCCGAACAGCCCCCCCACTACGACGGCGTCACGAGCCTGGCGCCGGCGCCGGGGCACGGCAAGGTCTACTCGGGATCCAGAGACAGGTCGATCAAGGAGTTCGAGCAGTGGCGAAGCGTCCTGGCTCGCCTATAGGCCCACTCAAGAATGTTCTAAGAACCTCCTGTGGTCTACGCGAAATGTTCTTAGAACAGTTCTGCTGAGACTGTCTTGTTTTGGCATATCGGGCATATGTTCTAAGAGCATGTTGCTCGTCTTAGAACACGTTGGGTTCCAAGAACATGTCGTGTTTGGCCTATAGGAATGCCGGGCCGGTCGGTCCCCCTGCTCAAGGAGTGGGACGTCGCCTCGCTCACCAACACCAAGCACACGCTCCATGTGCACGGCGACTGGGTCCAGGCGCTGTGCGTGTCCCAGACCGATAACGTCCTCTTCTCGGGGTCGCGGGACTCCATCATCCCCTCGAGGCCCACGCCGCTCCGAGCCCCCGGGCACCGCGGGGTCGTGACGGACGCCTTGGCCCCACCCCACGCCACCCCACACGTGGTCCTTGGTTTTATCCGAAGGTTTCCGCAGTTTTCGGAAGCTGTCGGGGCCCCAGTGGTCTCCATCAGCTGCGCTTCATCGATAGTGTTCTGGGGGTGCCCGGAACGTCCCGAACGACCACTGGGGAGCCGAGTTATGAGCCGAAAGCCAGAACCAGGGGGCGGCGCCAAGGGAATTAGGCTTACCGATGGGGGCCTGACAGCCCACCCCGACCAGGAACATGCGGATTTTTTGTCGGGGGCTTCTCGCCGATCTATCGGTGATGTATCGCCGATTTCAGCTCGATGTTCCCTGAGCCGGTCCCCCCCTGACGTTGTCCTCAGCCCCGGCACCGTAAGTTCGTGACGGACGCCTCGGACAGACGAGCACGTCGTGCTGGTAAGATTTGTTCTGGCCCGGAGTGGATAGGAACAGACCTGGAGGAGCATTGGAACCGAACATCGAAGAACACACAAAAAAATGTCAGCCAGCGTTGAGCCTAAACAGTGTGTTTCTAGCAATCCAGGTTGTGCGATTTATGTGGTGCAATCTATGTGGCGCAATCTATGTGGTGCAAAACATGTCGTGCACTCTATGTGGTGCACAAGAGTTGGTGTAACCTATATGGTACAATATATGCGGTTCAATGTATGTTGTGCAAGTTATGTGGTGCAGCCTGAGAGGTCAATATCCGTGGTGCAATCTAGGTTGTGCACTCTATGTGGTGCTCTCTATGTTATGGAATCGATATTTTGCAACCTACGATGGGCTTTACATGTTGTGCACTCTATGTGGTGCAGTTGATTTATGTTCGCAGTGAGTTGTCCACGCCACTGATCGCGCAATCATCCCCCCCACCCACCCGCAAGTTAGTTTACAAAACCCATGCGGCTGCGATTGCGATGAGTGCTTAGAGTTTGCTGGTGCATCTTTGCGGTCGCGCTATTCCGCGCATGCTCGCGCGCGCAACGGCCAGATCGTTTGGAGCTACCGAAGCGGCCGCGGTGGCGCTGACCGCTGGGCACTTCCCGCTTGGCACTTCAGTGTGAGTCGACGAGATGGGCGGGCGCGGTATCATGGCAACGTCGGCAACGGTAGACACGATGATGATGGTAGCGATGCTGTTGACGATGCTGACAAAGACGACGGCAAGGCCAGTGACGGCGCCGATGCTGATCACGCCGACGACGATGACGGCGCCCTCGCGTCGGTAATGAAGGTTTCGGAGGGAGTTTGACATGCGCGCGCGGGCGACGCGCCAGAATGGCCCGAATGATAATATTTGACATGGATCGTGCTCCCCCCCCATCACGCGCGCAAGGGCGTTCGAATGATTTCGACGTGCGGCGCGAGGGGCCCGTTTGGCCGAACTGAATCAAAACCTCAAAACCGACGTGTTCCTAACAACGAATTCGCAGGAACGCAGGCGCAGGCATGTTTGAAAATTGATGCTGCCCAACCATGTGTTTTAATTGTTTGGGGCACATTCGGTTTTGACATCCCTTCGGTTCTGAAGGATTCCGGCATGCGCGCGCGACGGCGTGCGCGCGCATGGCGTCTTGTTTTTTATCATCCCCCACATGTTTCGTGGGGGTATGGTTTTCTTTTCTGCCGCGTCGCACCCGCGACCCTCACTCACCTCCCCTCCTCCTCCTCCTCCGCCTCCTCCTCCCTTTCATCATGTTGTTCTTCCTCCTCCTCCTCCTCTTCCTCCTCCTCCTTCTCGCACGACACAGCGCACCACAGCAGCAGAGCACAGCACAGCACTGCTCAGCACAGCACAGCACACAGCACATTGACACAGCACGTACCAGCACGCACACAGCACAGCAGTGCTCAGCACAGCTCAGCACAGCACAGTTCAGCACAGCAGGCCACTCGGCCCCATAGAGGGCGCGCAGGGGGTAGTTTCCCTACGCGCGCGTCTCGTCCAGGGCACAGCAGGCGTGGCATGCTCTCGACCCCATAGGGGGTGCGCAGGGGGTGGTCTCCCTACGCGCGCCTCTCGTCCAGGGCACAGCGGACGTGGCATCCTTTCGACCCCATACGGGGTGCGCAGGGGGTGGTTTCCCTATGGGTGCCTTTCGTCCAGTGCACAGCAGGCGTGGCATGCTCTCGACCCCACACGGGGTGCGTAGGGGGTGGTCTCTCTACGCGCGCCTCTCGTCCAGGGCACAGCAGGCGTAGCATTCTCTCGACCCCATAGGGGGTGCGCAGGGGGTGGTTTCCCTACGCGCGCCTTTCGTGCAGGGCACAGCAGGCGTGGCATGCTCTCGACCCCATACGGGGTGCGCAAGGGGTGGTCGCTCTATGCGCGCCTCTTGTCCAGGGCACAACAGGCATGGCATGTTCTCGACCCCACAGGGGGTGCGCAGGGGGTGGTTTCCCCATGCGCGCCTTTTGCCCAGGGCACAGCAGGCGTGGCATTCTCTCGACCCCATAGGGGGTGCGCAGGGGGTGGTCCCGGTATGCGCGTCTCTTGTCCAGGACACAGCAGGCGTGGCATTTTCTCGACTCCATAGGGGGTTCGCAGGGGGTGGTCTCCCTACGCGCGCCTCTCGTCCATGGCACAGCAGGCGTGGCATGCTCTCGACCCCATAGGGGGTACGCAAAGGGTGGTTTTCCCTAAGCGCGCGTCTCGTCCAGGGCACAGCAGGCGTGGCGTTCTCTCGGCCCCATAGGGGTTGCGCAGGGTAGTTTCCCTACGCGCCCCCGTCTTCCGGGGCACAGCAGGCGTGGTATTCTGTCGGCCCCAGAGGCATAGGGGGTGCGCAGGGGGTGGTCCCGCTATGCGCGCCTCTCGTCCAGGGCACAGCAGGCGTGGCATGCTCTCGACCTCATGGGGGGTGCGCAGGGGGTGGTCCCGCTATGCGCACCTCTCGTCCAGGGAGGGCACAGCAGGCGTGGCATTCTCTCGACCCATAGGGGGTGCGCAGGGGGTGGTCCCGGTATGCGCGCCTTTTGTCCAGGACACAGCAGGCGTGCCATTCTCTCGACGCCATATGGGGTGCGCTGGGGTTGATCCCACTATGAGCGCCCCTCGACGGTAACAGCAGGGTAGCTGCTGCGAGCGTTGGTGACATGTTGCACGTCAGTTATGCGAATACAAGTGATTAAACGAAGTGTGTGGGGTTCCTCGGTAGCGTATTTATTTGGGTAACTGATAGCTTGGATAAACGGGTGTGCGCGCATAGTGTTGTTTTGCTGTTTGCTGCAGAGGAGGAGGGGGGAGACCAGTTGAGCTGGGATGATACGAGTTCGTGCTTAAGATGGACGATGGTGCTGAACCATGAGTAATTTCAGTGCGGTACGAAAAAAAGTCTGTTCATTCCGGAGGGTGGGTCTTATTATTTCCTTGAAATGAGAATCGACGTGGTGCAGGTTATGTTTTGCGCGCTAAGTGATGCGATCTATGCTGTGCAACCATTGTGGTGCAACGTATGCGGTGTAAGTCATGTCGTGCAAGCTATGTGGTGCAAGTTATGTGGTGCAGTCTGTGCGGTGCCATCTTGATGGTGCAATCTATGCGGTGCAAGCTATGCTGTGCAATCTAGGTCGGCGACGAGGCGGCCATGGGGCGGCCACGGGGCGGCGACGGCGACTACAAAGCCGCCAGACCGCCACATCGGCCCAGACGACGGGCGGCGACGGGGCGGCGACGTCGGTCACATAGCCACCAGACCGCCTCACCGGCCCAGTCCCTGAAAACAGAAGGCCCCCTGACTGCAAGCATTGCCTGGGGAATAAAGATGAATTTGCGGAGCTTCGCGAGGATTTCTCGGGTCGGCGTTGGGCTCCACTGGCAGCTTCTCCATCGCCGCCCCTGGCGCGCTTCGCGTGCCAGGGAGGGGGGTTCAGCGCAGATCCAAGAAAGCCCAGCGAAGATCCGAAACAAATTGTTTACGCAGTGCTTTCTTTGAGGGTAGGAACCGACCTGGAGGAGTGTAGGAATCGAACAGTGGACCGAGACGGACCCACTGAGAGCAGTCTTCAGAGTTTCTCAGAAGTGTTCCTCGACGGACGCTGGCCCCCAGAGGTCCCTTGAGGCCTCTGGAGGCCCAGAGAGGGCCCAGGACGCCCAAGAGCCACCCGTCGAAGAAGAAAAAATGGCCAGCGCCGATCCAAGAAACTCCTCCGGCAATCCGAAAGTCTTTGCTTGCAGCCTTCTGTTCTTCTCGCTGGAGGCCCAGAGGGGGCCCAGGACGCCCGAGAGCCACACGAGAGCCGCCCGAAAACTTCTCCCCCCTGGATCCTCGGGGGCCCGAGCAGAACTCAGCGTCCTCCGGAAGCCTCGGGCAGTATCCGAGAAGCTCCAGGCGCCTCTGGGGGCCTCTCTGTGCGTCCTCCTCGCGGGGCAAGCATCGGCGGGTTCAGGGCGGGGGTCTTGGGTTGCTCGGCCGCTCGACAAAGGTATAGACAAAGGAGGAGGAGGAAGAGGAGGAGGAGGAGGGCAAGAAGAAAAACTTGCATAAACATAAAACTTCGGAGCTCCAGGCAGATTTCTTGGATCGGCGTTAGGCCCCCCTTGGCGGCGCCTCCAGCGCCACCCCTGGCACATTCCTCGAGCCAGGGGGGGGGACCAGCGCAGATGCAAGAAACCGCTCGGAATTCAAAAATCGTCTGTGCCTGTCGTTTTTCTCCATGGGGAAGTGGAGGAGGCACCTCCTCTCATCCTTTCGCCTGAAACCTCTGTCGTCGCCTGTCGTCGTTTCCCTTTGACTTCCTCGCGTCTCCGAACTTCTTTCTTGCTTCGGAGCTAATTCCGCCTTGCGGGCCTTCAGTTGCTTCCACGGGATAGTCCGCAGCTTCCAGGCCTCGACGAGGTGGATGATCTGGAGTAGGACCTAGACCTCCCATGTCTTGAACAAAGTCAAGACGTTGTTTGTGCGACATTCTCGCCATGCAGGGGCCGCTTTCGGGGGTCATGGCCGTCAAACAATGGCTCGGGATGCAACAATTGCACCAGAGAAGGGGTCGGAACTTCAGGGGTCCCCCAGTGAAAAAAACAACGTCG